CACTATATATATACTTGTACATGATATTATATTCTTTCGGTTGAAGAACGTTTTTACAAAACTGTTGCTACATCAAAGGGATCGGTTATAAATTCACGAGGCATTTTCAACGACGTGTATTTAGGTACAATAATGATATACACTTAAAAATAAACGTTTTCTTTTACTAATTGACAGTTATTATTATTATTATTATTATTATTATTATTATCAAACATCACACGAGAACGCGAAAAGGCATTTTTCCGAAAACGCTCTATTTCAATAATTATTATTTTACTCGCCCCCCCTCCCCCGCGCGCGGTCACCCGCAGCGTTTATTAGTGTGTCGATATCCGAGAACCTTTTCGCGTTTCATTACTATTATTTGTATAAATATATATATATATATGTGTGTGTGTGTGTGAAATACACACTCAAACGCGTACGCGGTCCTTTTTTTTCTTCCACTCGGCAAACGCACGTATATATGATTCAACACACATTTTCTCGTCGGGCCATTTCCTTTTGATGTGTTACACCAGAGGGCGCCGTCCGGGCGCCGGGACGCTGCGAACGCTGAAATACGCCCTCGTGATACACCCTCGTCCGCTAGTCCGCTAATGGAAGCTGAACGATCGCGTCGCGCTCCCGCAGTGTACTCCGCTCGGTACGGTCGCAACGTCACAGTCGCACACCGTCGCTCGTCGAACGGCACACCGGCAACAACGCCGCAACACTGCAACGGAACGGTAACAATAATAATACAATTACGTTATAATTATTATTGTTCGTCCGCCGCCGCCGCTGCCGCCGTCGTCATGGCGGTCGTCGTGAATCGCGAGCTCCCGTCTTCCGCGTCGTCGACATATTATTTTTACACCGGATAATACAAATCGTACACTTTACGTTCACGTTGTCGCGGGCCCGCGATCGCGATGCGTCTCGTCGTCGGACGTGTTGTATGACGGCAATATTGTAGCGGTGGTCGTCGTTCCTGTAGCTACCTCCGCCGTCCCGATCGACCGGGCCAGTGCCGCCGCCGTTGCCGCCACGAGGTACGGCAATACTACGATATTATAGTACGACGACGGACCGCGATACCAACCGCAGAGAGTCGTGGCTGCGAAGATGGACGATCAGGAGCCGTCGCTGTGGTGTTATTGTTTGCGGTGCGCCCGGCGACGGCGGTCGGCGCGTGCCAAATGCCGAACGACGGCGGTGCTGTCGAGCGGTGTGCACCACAACTGCCGCAATGCGGCGGTCGCCGAATAACGGCAATCGTCCTGTCCGCCGATGAAAATGGTCGAGACGAACCGGCCGAAACCGCCGTTGGACGTCGCCACCGCGGCGGCTGACGTGAACTCCTCGCCGCAGCAGCAACGCGAACACCAGCAGCAACGTGAACACCAGCATCAACGTGAATACCAACAGCTACGTGAACACCAGCAGCAACGTGAATACCAACAGCTACGTGAACACCAGCAGCAACGTGAACACCTGCAGCACCATTGGCAGCAGCCGCCGCAGCGTCGTCCACATCAGTCCCGAAACACCAAGACGGTACACTTCGAAACAGACGTGCTGCGAGGCGTCACGGCGGCCGACTCCGCGATGGCCACGGCCACTTCGAACTGCAGCACGGCCAGCGTCACTAGTCTGCCCGACCAGTTCGACAGAAACGTACAACAGTTGTTTACGTTTATCGGCACAGCTCTGAGCGGAGGTCACGACCGTTATTGTAGCGACGACGACGACGACAACGACGACTGTAGTGATGACGACGACGACTGCAGTGACGATGACAGCGACGGCGTTAGTGACGGATTTTGCGGTGGCTGCGGTGGCGGCAACGACGGTGACGACGACGACGAGGACGACGACGACGACCGGAGGTCGGTCAGCGACAGCGAGACGGTCAGGAGACGATCAGCGTACCGGCGGCGACCGGCGTCGGCAGTGGCGCCGTACGCCGCGTCGTCGTTCTCGCGTGGCGAGCGTACTATCAGTTTCGAACGTGACGTGGACAGAGGCAACACGCCGTTTAGGCACAGGCACTGCAAAACGACGGCTGGCACGTGCAACAGAGTTTTCCTCAAAAAGGTAACTTGGCAGGTCGTACTTGTTCGTTTTGGGTTTGGTGTGAGAGGAAGAGGGTGGGGGGTTAGGTATTGTTTATGTGTATCGACCGTTTTCCGGTATGCTAAATAATAATGATAGGGTAGGCTACGGTCTGCGAGTCTTATTGAAAAAAGCTGAAAACGCATGCCTAAAAAATTGTTTCCTATATACATTATTTTCATCCAAATTCGAGCGACAGATATTCCGACCACGCTTTTGTCAAATCCCCGGCGTGTATTGTGAAATCACGTTTGTCGGAGAAAGTTCAATGGGAATTTTTTAACGACCAAAGTTTTCGCCATACGCCGAGCTCGATTAAAAAAGAAATAAAAAAAAGTTGGTGGCGCAGAGTCGGCGACAACGTCGCATATCACGGTGACAGAGTGACGGCGAGGGCGGATAACCGGTAGGGCGGGCAATTATAATGTGGCATTTTGTCCGGAAATTAAAAACGTTTAATAGAAAAGCCTTTTCTATTCCACCCCGCCGGATGCCTCACGCGGCCGGAACTAAAACAATAGGGACATTTGTAATATTACAACCTTTCGCTGTGCATGGCTAAGGGTATTATTACAATGAAAATGTTGAGATTAGAGTATTTTTCGTTCTTATTTTCTGTTATTTTACTATCTATTACCTGGTATTATTATTTTTTTTTACATCGCGTGTTATTCACTTTTTCAAATAAATTCCCGATAATGAAAGGGTATTTGCCATTGTGGTTCGTCATCGAACATTAAATGATTTATTATACATATCTTTCTTAACGAAATTAATGTGTATATGTATAAGTAGGTGTGTAATATTATTAATGCCTGTATACGTTTAAAAATCTTATTTCAATGTGGTCATGCTAAAGAAAAGAAATCCAAACATAATAACATCAAATCAGAGTGCTCAAATTATTATTAATTAAGCATTGAATGTTTGTATATCAAATGAAAGTTGGTATGGTGAATTCAATATATATGTCATTACTTCTGAATCATATTTTATTCCTTTTTTCTCTCAAGTCTCAATTTACAATAGCCAGTCGTCAACCACGAAACGTACCTTTTAAATAACTCTGAGAAACATGTTACATTTTTTCACTTTCATAAACAAATTGATGGCATTCATTATTTGTTTGCCTTTTTGCACTTGACTGTAACACTTAAAGAGATTCGCATTTGGTGCGAACATTTTTTTCGTTAAATGCAGATGTTTTTTTTCACCAGTGATTACTGATCAAATATAAAGTGAATTGGAAATCTTTATTTTTTGAGAGGACTCCACAACCGCAAATATTGTCTCTGTGTTACAACCGTAAAGCATAACAAATTGGCGTTCAACTGAACAAATAACTTGTTATATTTAATATTAGAGTGTGAATTGATTAATTATTATCAAACACAAAGTCGAGAACGTCATCTATGTTCTTATGCCGGTATTCAATACATTTCGTTTCAGGCGAGTTATGAGTGTACAAAATATTTTAATTTAAAAATGATCATGAAAAGTATTTTGTCTCTTTCGAAATGTCAATGAGAGATCTATTGCTTATATTATTATAAATGTGTAAAAAGGTTTTCTACACATTTTTTTTATTAAAACTAACTACGATTTAATAATCTAAAAATAAACTAAAAAGTATGCATAGAAAAATAATTTAGATAATTTGAATGTATTAATTAATATTTAGTCAAAACTATTGGAATAATATGTTTCAAAAATCATAATATCTACTATCTAATAATAAATTGGAAGTATGATATTTCTAAAGTGTTAAATTAATTGATTTTTAAACATGTAGTTGGTGTTCAGTGTCCAACTAAGATGAGATTTAATATTCACCACTTTGCTTATTTTTATCATCAAGAATAAATGCACATTTGCATATTTTATTCAATTTATGACAGTTAATATATATAGTACGTCGTTTATTTCACGGGATTATATAATAAAATTAAAAAAATACATAAATAGCGATTGATCTGAGTTAAGATAAAATGTTTAAACGATAACAATTATACGTCTGTTTGGTTCTCGTTTGATTGTAACATTTTATTTTAATGAGACTACTGAGAGAGTCGATGCGTTACAAAAACGTAATAGGTACCCACCTACTCAAGTCGTCAATATTTTTTCATTCAGCACATGAATGTCAAGCAAAAATAAATATTTAATCAATTCATCTGTATCAAAATGTGTATATATCTCGTTTGGATGAATAAATTAAATCAGTGATTTATATTTGTATAATGTGACTTATTAATCATATTAAACGTATGTCAACATTTTATCAGAAAGCAAACGTATTATTCGATAGTATTGAAATACTCCCATACGTCTGCGTCCCACATTTAATTGGGCAAAAGTATTTTAATCGACTTAATCCTAACGAATAGCTTTTACGCGAAGGCACCTTTTAAAGTGACTTCATCGTGAACTACCAAAGTCCCGTAAATGTCGACATTTGTGTTGCAACTAGAGAATATCAAGAAATGTCTTCTTATATGCGCAGAGCAACGATGATAATTAAGGTGCACTTTAATTATTTATTAAAGTCACAGTGGCAGAAAAATATATGGAACATATTTAAGGGTGACTTGATTTAAATTTCGTCAAAAAGTCCATATTCTAACACATTTTTGTTGAAATATTACATTTTTTATTTTTCATAAATGGTTTTGAGTATTATTATATTATTATACTATTATAATGAAGGTCTGACAGCCAATTTCCAATATCTTGAAATCACTGCCAGTGGCACAGAAATCATTTAAAAGATATAATTTTTTTTTAAATAGATGCATAGGTAAATGATTTCGATGGTACACAATACTATAATAATTTATAGGGGACGAGGTGACCGAGTGGTCTGACTCTTCCGCTGCGACGCAGCCGGTCGCGGTTCGATCCTCGGCCACCGGGCGGCATTTTTCTCCGGACAAGTCGCGGTGACCGGAGAGCAAGTGCTGCCATCCCCCACCCCCGGGGCATGGCAGAAACCTACGGGTGCCCCATTCGAAATTCTGCCAAAACAAACACCTACCTGTTCCCCCTACCGTTCCAAAAACCTACAAACCATCAATACAAAAACCTACAGTACCTACTAATAATAGCTAATGGCCACAGTTTCCGGGCTCAGGATCAATTAAAAAAAATAATTTATAGGAGTAATATTTTAGGATATACATAATATAATACAATATTTTTGGGGTCTTAAGGAACAATAATTTAATTGAAAATATCAGAGCTGATAAAAATATAATTTAATTGATTAAAATATCTTGATTTCGGTACGTTGTGAAATGTGTTTTAAATGTTGTCTGTTTTAATTAATTTTAAAATCAACAGTACATATTATACAGATGGTGTTAAATGTTCCTGTCATGTAAACGATTATAACAAAAATAAACAGCTAAATATCTCGCTCTAATACTGATCTAGATATTTAAACGTACAGGAAGCTAGCTGTAACTGTCTTATAAATAACTAAGTATAATTTATAATATTAAAAATATACTAAAAATGTTTGCAAGATATTATCATTAAATTTAAAAATCTTATCTTATGTTAAATTCGGGAAAATGTACCGCAGGACTGCGGTGTACCTAAAATGCCTACCCAAAACGCCGTGTCATTATCATTTGATCGCAATATATTTTTTAATATTATTATGTCTCATAAGTGTCCGTAACTTTTGGAAAACAATATTGAAAATTATAAGATGGCTGAAACGACACCGGTGGTTGCTCTAGCAGTTACCTTATTTTTTTTATTCAATTTGTCTGAAGGAGCTCCGTGTGATTTACTTGGCAATTTAAAATATATATTTATTTGAAAAAGAGAGAAAAAGTTTAGTATTTTAATTATATCCGAATTCTAGTGAAGCCTTAGGCTGTAATATATTGTTCAGGCTTTAAATAAATATTTTGATTTTTAAATACAGCCACAGGAATTCAGCATAAATAATTTAAGGAATTTTAAAGTTATGGATTAACAAAGACACTACAACTTAATTTGAATATCAAAATTTCGTTAACGCGAAAAACGGTTTACTAACGTTTTACGTCTTAACCATTTTAACGGTGTTGCACTATTAAGTTTTAATACCTACTAATGAAAATGTTTTATTTTTGGCTTAACTTTAGAAACATTAAAAATGCATTATCGTCTTTATAGCATAATAGAGTTATGGTTAAATGTGTATGTATATTTAAAACGTTAATAATGTTATGTAGTTTATCTCTATAGTCTTTCATAAATTTATTGTAATAATATAAAATATGAATGTAAATTTCATTGCATTGTATGTTTTTTCTGTCGTTCATTAAATACCTAGTTATTTTGAATAAATATTTATCATATTCTAGCGTGTTTTGAATAATTAAAAATTATTATTTTACTTAAATATTTAAATAATAATTGTTTTAACGTGTTCAACATTTCATTTTATATTTTAACCGATGTTGATGGAAAATAATAAAATGCGTATAAAAAATATCAAGTTACGTTTAACTTTTTACATAACCAAACTCTATCATATACTAATAATAGGTCTTAAAAGTGTAATAAATCTAACCATTATTTAATTATACTTAATCCTTTATTATATTAATTAAATTAATTGTATTGTTATTTTCTTTTCAGTTTAATGCGCTTTTATTTTTATTGCTTATTCAGTTAAATAATTTAAATTTTTTTCAAGATTGAACTACCCTTGCTTAAAAATATTATGTAGTTAAACAAAAGTAATTTAAAATAAAATATTCAATGGGTTCTCATTGATCTGATATGGCTACCCTCATAGTTTGTGTGCATTAAAATAAAACAACAAGACAAATAAAATAACAATAAAACAAAAGTAATCATTGTATTTTCTTTTATCAATATTAAGGTTTTTATATACCTATCAAATTTTATATTTCTGTCATTATGATGGTTTATTTTATATAATATATATATAGCCATTTGAATAATACAATAATAATTGATTC